TTCCTGATGTTATCGGTCTGGAGGAGGCGCTCGCAGCGGGTGCCACCTTTGTGAGTGAAATTGTGTAGACGGAACTCTTAGGGGCCGTCGATGGCTGTACTAGCACGAAGTCACAAGTCATTCGAATGATAAAAAATTTTAAGACAATATTTTTGAGACCAAACAGGTGCATGATGAGCGAATATGTTAAAATTGGAATTTTCGGACACGCCTGTGTCCTTTCTCAACGAAACAAGAAAAAATGATGATGGTTCTTTTGCATAATTTTTCCGCATATCTCGTAGTTTTGAGCTAATTGTTTACCATGATTAGGGATGTAAAGGGCCATAAAATGTGAAGAATATATTTATTGGGTAGGCCTAAATTCCGATTTAAACCTAGAATGTGTAAATTTAAACTCTTACTCTCAGCGTTCTTGTTGAACTCATGTCGCTAAAAGGACGCATCTAAAGTTATCAATGCTATGGTACGGTTGGTTGAAATGTGCAGCTACGGTGAAATTGATGGTGTTTCATCGGCCTACTATATCGACATATTTTAAGAAGCATACGTGGATAATCCTTCTTTACCATATATATATATATATATATATATATATGTGTGTGTGTGTGTGTGTGTGTGTGTGTGTGTGTGTGTGTGTGCGTATGTGTGCGTGTGTGTGTGCGTATATATTGTCTGTAACAATTTCTACGTCACCAGAAGAGTCTACTAATATAGAGTTCACCCCAAGTAAGGCAGTAAAGCCACTGAGACACAAGGGGTTACTGGGTATTAGAAACAGGAACATTGCTTAGAAGCGAGAACAGAGGACGAGTAATCAGGAAGACAGTAGATAACGATCGACATTATATCTAAATTCTTGCAGATTAAAGATGGCTGGAAAGCATAGAGCCGGACTGTAGTTCCACAAACGAGAAGTGCGAGAAACGTTTATTTGCATCATTTACATACGGAGCATTGTCTTCATCTTTGTTTATATTATCACGTTTCAGCTGTCGTACCTTCTGCCCTTCATCAGTCACCAGAAGAAGCCCGGTAGACAAATCGCCCGGAACACTGTCATAATACCAGTAGAGATGAGGATATTAGTGCCTCTGTAAATAATGTGAATAATGATAATTTCTCATCCCCAAAATCCAGATATAAATAACACGTGTTTTTGTAGGAAACTCTTGATTACGTAGTGGAAAAATAATTTTATGTTAAACTTAATAAAGAAAAGTGCATGATTATTCAACGGTCTATGGAATACTGCAAAGTTTAATATTCAAGAAGTATGGAAAATAAACAAGAAAATCACTTTTCCATCGGCTTAATGTAGCCACCCTGTGCCTTTTCTGTAAATACATTCATGGTAATTATTCAGATGCACTGTACTTTATTGTCTCTTGAATTTATACATTTAAACGCAGTACTAGACGAGCGGTAAGGTCTCATCATTTTAGAGTTGAAGTGGCTAGATATAACTGTAAGTTCTCGTCTAACAGATTTCTTTTATAGCATGTCTCGCTTGTGAAACTTTCTTTTGACTTATTGCTCCTTAGTCAACTTTGATCTTCAAAAATTTAAATACAATATCAATCGTTATCTCCTGTCTTCTTGATTCCTCTTCCTTTATTGTTCTCAATTCTCACCTGTGGAAATCACTTCCGGCTACATGCTTTCCAGACAATTTTGATCTTCAAAAATTTAAATACAATATCAATCGTTATCTCCTGTCTTCTTGATTCCTCTTCCTTTATTGTTCTCGTCCTTAATAGTTTCTTCTTTTTTTCTCATATTCTTTAACACTCAGTAACCCTTTTGTGTCTTAGTTGCTTTATTGCCTTGCTTAGGATGTAATAATTAAAAAACAAAAAATGCCGTGTTGTTTTTATTTTTAAATAATTACTAAACACAATGTAATTGTAAAATTTAAATAGTTCTTTAGTTTTTTGATGGTACGTATAAATTAGTTCAGTAATAATGTCAATGGATTCTTTTTCAAAACATTCAGGTGAATTGAAGAACGCTTCATAGATATGTCAATCATTGCCCAAAATCAAATCTTAAATAACTTTATGGATGGCGTTTTTTACAAAACGGACGTCATTACATTCAATCTTTGTCAAATGTTATTTTTTACTTTAATGCATACTTTTTGTAAATTTCAGCGTACTCTGACAATACGACTGATATACATACACACACACACACACACACACACATATATATATATATATATATATATATATATATATATATATATATATATATATATTAAAAAGTAGTCATACAAAGAATAAATAGTAAAGTTAATGTAATTAATGGCAAATTCACTTCGCTAACAGATTTAATAAAACGTTAACTTACTAACCACGCATTGAATGACGATATCATTGTTTTTAAAAGTTATAAAATTGATTTAATGTTCCGTATATATGCTGGTACTTTCGGTAATTCTTATTACCATCTTCACTCTAGCGTTGCAACACTACACGATCCAAAAGTTTTGTAACTGCTAATAATAACACTTTAAAAAACATCTTTCAACTTGTATTACATTTATTTTCGTCTCGGAAGTTAACTGAATTTACCTGAAGAAGAAATATAATATCCATGCCTGAATATGGTATTAACTAGGTACCTCCACTATTTCGGCATAAATTTTCTATATTGAAGTTTAAAATGAATTTTTTACAACGAAAAAACATTCTTGAAGATTTCATTTTAGCTTTAATTGAAAATTTAATAATTAAAGTTACGATTTCTATTAATTAAACAATTCTGGTGTATTTCAGATAGAAACTATATACATTTGATTGTCAAATTTAATTTCAAATTTTTAAATTTTCTTAAAAACGGCCATTTTCTTAATTTTAAGAAATTTGTAAACAAACACAATCGATTTTTAAAATATTTAAAAAAAATTCTGACACGTTATTTTAGTAAAATTAAAAAATTTAAATTTAAAGTAATCTGATTTCAAAGAAATCTTTGTTACTTATAGCATAAAAAAATAATATACAACCAATTATTAACGAGCGGTCCTGTTCATCTGATCGATCAATTGATGGATTGTTCTATGACGAACCGATCACAGCTACTACTGATGACCATAAATGACATATTTTTTAAGTCTGAGTTTTTAAAAAAAATTATTCTATTTGAGTATGACACACACTAATGGAAATACAATGCATAAAATAAAATTATTTCGTGAAATAGTAAATGAAAAAAAGAAAAAATAATTTAAAATTTAAAGTTTACACTTTTAAAGCTGAACGGAAAATACAACCTGTAAGAAACGAAATGTTTTGAAAAGGCCACATAAAGGGACAAAACCCTTAGATCACGTGACATTATTATAATAATGTCAATTTCTGTATATCATACATGGAAATAAGGAATGTATTAAGTAAAAAATTACAACATAAAAAATTATTTTTAAAAGAAGTAGCGCAACTAAATTTATTAAACTTAGCAATTTTGGACTCGTAAATTTTTTTCTACTTAATTACTACATAATATTGAGGAGCCCTCCTAATACAGAGCTTTACACGATGTTAAACTATTATAAATTATTATAATTAAAATTTCTTAAAAATGGAAAAAATTCTTGTAAAAATTAATTATTCATCAGAAAAAAATTATTTCTTCAGACAATAATGTCCTTAATATTACTTATTTACAAAAGCAATTAAAAGCTTTTCTAATTAAGTAATATCATAGTTTTATGGATTCATTATTTTTCAATTCAGACAAGATTTTCAGTTAAATAGCTCAAATTTGAAAAAAAAAGTAGGTTATTTACCATCTCCAAAGACTCCTTCTTTTAACAAAAAATAAAATTGAGGAGCCAAAAAGGTTTTGGGCGAAATTTCATGAAATTAACTAAGTGGGGGGTAACATATTTAAAAAAATATTTTTTACCAAAATTTTCTAAAAACAAAATATTTCAAAAATAATTTCATTCATTTGTGAATAAGTCCTGAAAATTTCATTAAAATCGGACAATTACTTTAATTTTACAAGAATTTCCAAATCAATGTGTTTTCAATGGGAAAAAGCGCAAAAAAATGTTATTTTAACAGCACCGCGATGACGTAAACAAAAGACGACTTTAACCAAAATTTCGAACGTGTTAGAAAATATTAAAAAATTTCAAAAAATAATTAAAAAATAATTTTTTCTTTCATCTTAATAATAACATAAGCATTTTGACGATAATACTTTATTTTCTTTAAGTTTGTGGCATTTTTCATTTACGCTATGCTGTTTTTCCGCGAAAACAGTGGACATGCTTAGTATTAACAATTTGCGAAAGTACTAGCATATATACGGCAAATACGGAACATATAATTCATTTTACAATTTTTGAAAATAATGATCGCGTCATTCAACAAGTGGTTGGAAGTTTAATGCTTTATTAAATCTGTTAGCGAAGTGAATTCGCCATTAATTTTACTGATTTATTCTTTGTATGAGTAATTCTTTTTAATATTAATTATACTGCACCATTAATATATATATATATATATATATATATATATATATATATATATATATATATATATATATATATAGATAGATAGATAGATAGATATGCTGTGCTTAGCACCTGTACGTTATCTGGAAACCGGAAGATATTTATGAAAACAAAACTAAGTGTTGTGTACTTAATGGGGAGAAAACATACTAAATCGTATTTTTTTTTCTATGTGAAATGTCTCTTCAGGACATGGGTAATCATATCTCTCTATAATCTCCTGTCCTTTGTAGATCTTAGTAAATTGTTTCCGCTATCTCTCATAATCTCTGTTCTAACAACCATTTACAAAAGTTCGTTAGGCAGGGGTTATACGTTGCTTTCCTCTGTCCTTTTACCTTCAGTATGTCTTGTGAGTATCACATTTTCTAAACCCTCTTATTATGTGCCCTACAAATTTCAACTGTCTCTTTCTGATGTTAACTTGATCTCATAAACTATCACGAAAATTATTACGCTGTAGTGAACGATCATGACAACATTGGACATGGATCCGGGTTGTGGGAATATAAGAATAAGAATACAAGTTATGAGAATATAAAAAATAAGAATACAGCTTAGGAGAATTGAGAATAATACGGTTTAGAAGATTATAAGAATATGGATACGGTTTATGAGAATATAAGAATAAGAATATGTTGTAGAAATATAGGAAAAAAATACGGATTATAAAAATAAAATACGGTTTATGAGAATATAAGTCCAGTTTATACGAATAGGAAAACGGGTTAAGGGAATATAAGTAGACGGTTTATGAGAATATAAGATTAAGTATAATTTATGAAAATATAAGAATACGGGTTAGAAGAATATACAAATAAGAATATGGTTTATGAGATTGTAAGATTACGAATACTTTTATTTCATATTCTCATAAAAATGTGGTTTATGAGTATTTAAGAATAGGAATACGGTTTATGAGAATAAAAATACGTATAAGGGAATAAAGTATATAAAAAAAGGAATAAGAATACAAGTTATGAATATAATTAGAATACCGGTTAAGACAAAGAAGAATAAGAATACGGTTTATGAGAATATGATTAAGAATATGGGTTATGAGAATAAACGAATATAATTACTTGAATTGGAGTATGCAAAAACAAAAAAACAAAAAAAAAAACAGAAATGTATCGGAATAGGAAGATAACGTTGTGCATACAATGAATATAGAAATATGCAAATATGAATAACAAACACGATTATGCGAATAAAAAATTGTGCGGAAGAATATGCGAATATAAATATAATTATGAACATGATTATATTGTCGAAGATATCAAGGCGATCAATGGACGGATATAACAAATAAGAATAAATAACAATAGAAATATATGAATATTAATAACGAATAAGATTATCGAATAAAGAAATAGTTACATGGTGACTATAAATTCAACTGATATAAATGGACGAATGAAAATAATAAATATATACAAGAAATATATCCAATTGCGATCATAATGTTAAAGATGGCGAACTGTCCCGTCGTATTCGACGTATGAGAGTCAAATAGTTCAGTTCCTAGTTACCAACAGACAGACACCAGCATATATGATTTGATTATAGTGGTGAAGGTTTTGTGCAGAACCAACCACACTTTGTTTTGAAGTACCGAATACAGAGAGCTGGTGCACTACGTGACAAAGGTCCATAACGACCCTACACAGGTTTTGAATTCAGAGTTTTCCTTCTCTTAGACCAGTTGACATCCGAGGCTACATATCTCAGCCTGTCCTGCTATTTACACATAGTTGCAGAGAGAAGAACACGATTAATACCTTTTCCAAGTGTATTAGTACGTAAGTGAATGTAATGGATTCAACTGAATATATGAATAAGTATATGTAATGTTTGATTTTCAGGCATGCGGAGTATGCATTATTTACATTATTTACATGTCCTCATTTTCTATTTTATTATCACATGGTTTCGGCGGTTGTGATCTCCGGCCGTCTTCAAGTATCGATCCGGGTAAACTTTAGGGAATTATTCCCCCGATAGGGGTAGATTGTTCTCGCTCGTGTCTGGGGATATCTCGTCTTGTTTCATATCCGTATTTTTTTTTTTTTTGTACTGCTCAGTTCTTGCTATTCCTATCCGTACTCCCCTGTCCGGATATTAAGCTCACACGGACCATGCCACCAAATTGGGAGTTTAATGACTGGGTCCAGTAGTACAGGTTCAGACACAATAGAAACAGGAGGAGCAGTAACTGACTAGTAGTAAAAAAAAAAACAAAAAAAACAAAAACAATATGAGATATTCCTCGACATCACCTTCTATTATGTGCTGTGTACCTTCAGGATGTAGCCGATCATGGCCCTCCACGTCTTCCTGTCCCTTGTAGTTCTTAATAAGTTTTGTCTTTTTCATATTTCTCCAATACCCTGTTCAAATATGTTACTCTCTGTTTTCCTCTGTCCCTCTTTCTATTTATCTCTGTCCTATGAGTATCAAATTTTCCAAGCCCTCTTTCTTCATTACGTGCCCCAGAAATTTCAACTGTCTCTTTCTGACGTTAAGTATAAGTTTCCCTTTTGTTTCCATTCTCTCTAGAACCTTGTTGTTGCTCACATGTTCGACCCATGGTATCTTTAGCATCCTTCTATAGAACCACATTTCTGTTGCTTCAAGTCTCTTATTCCTCTTTGAGGAGATTGTTCAGTATTCGTTGCCATACAGGAGGACAGATATCACGTAACAGTTCATTACTATTTTCTTTGTTTCCAACGAAATTTTTCTGTTTCTTAATACTCTGCTTAGCTTTTGGAATGCATCTTTGGCCATTCCAATACGTCTTCGGATTTTAGTTTCCCCGATTTGTAATTTACATTTTTGGATCATCCTTCTGCTGATGACCATTCTACCTTACTGTAATTTATGCTTAGTTCTCGCTTTCCTTCGCTACCTTCTGTCGGCCAACAGCGGAAAGAGAAGAATCTATCCACGTAGATTAAAATAGTAACATTCCAAAAAAGTTACCTGGATCGACAGATACTTGTAGAAGATTGGAAGGCACAATGGCCGAAATGTTTTTTTTGTTTTTTTTTGTTTTACAATAATATTTCCCCTATACAAGGCCCAAGAGCCACTCAAGGTAGATGGTTACAGACTAAAAGACAGAGTTTATGATGATGTGTGTGAAGATAACGGTTAAACCTAGACTTGAACAGATTAAGATTGTAGTGATCGGATATCCATTTAGGAGTCGGGTTCACAAAGCTGCAGTTTGTAGGAATCTGCTCGAGTGGATCTTACATTACCGGTTAGAATTGGTGGAACTAAAGAGTGTAGTTCATCGAATCATTCTCCATGCATATAGCAATAGTGCAGCGAGAGGCTTCCGACGTTACGTCTGTGAGAAAGGGGCTCTAGGTGGGGGAATAGTTTATCACCCAAAAGGAGGCGCAGACGCTTTCGTTGAGCTCATGCCTTTGATTACGTTCATTCTCATTCTCGTTACAATAGACTAAGTCTTTTCTCGTGTTAAGACAAACAAACGCAATCTTCACAATATCTATCTATCTATCTATCTATCTATCTATCTATCTATCTATCTAATCTGAATCTGTTCATTAATTATCTATCTATCCATCTATCTAGATTCCCACTTTCTCTTTAGATCTATCTATCTATCTATCGATCGATCGATCTCAATCTGTTCATTATCTAGCTATATTTCCACTTTCTTTTTCTATCTATCTATCTATCTATCTATCTATCTATCTATCTATCTATCTATCTATCAGGTTCCTCGTACTTCGTAGTATATAACGCCCCCATATAAGGTCTTCACCCTGCCCTGTCTTCAGCTGCCGTTTGCGGTTCACCCCAGGATCGCCAGCTGATTGCATCCATTTATTTATCCATGGTCCTTCATCATGTTGTACATGGTCTTTTTCCATCGATTTCCAGGTCAGTGCCACGTTACAGTCGTTGTTCGGATCTTGACCTAAAGTGTGACTGATGAAGTCCCATCTTCATTGCTGTATTTCTTCATTAAGGGGTTCTATGAGAGGATTGCTGGAGCAGTTCCGCCATTTTCAGCTATACTTGAGATTTCTTCTTAAGCTGTTGTTATGATTAGGTCAATTATCTTGTCGTCTCCCTAATCCACTTTTCAGGACTCACTAATCGAGCAGAGACGGCCAACATCTTATAGTCCTTTTGATAAAGTCCATCCTACACACAGACGTTGTTATGTGTCTGTGAGTCGTGTGTGTGTGTGTGTGTGTGTGTGTGTGTGTGTGTGTGTGTGTGTGTGTGTGTGTGTGTGTGTGCTTTTGATCATTAGTAAGACAACGAAACAATAAAAAGTTCAGTGTTCCAAAATTTGTATTTGAGTTGATTATATTTCGAAACAGCGGATTTGTGGATGTGCGGTGGGTGTAATAGATTGAGGCTCGTATAGCCGAGTTCGAATTCCAGTCGAATTCGTTACATTTACATAAATATCTTTGGGAAAGGTACACATTAAACTTATCCGCTAGACGCTATATATATATATATATATATATATATATATATATATATATATATATATATATATCTGTCCTATATGGGCTGGAGTCCAGCTGTTCATCTTAGGGTCCTCGACAAAATCCAGAGACGGATATGCAGTCTGGTTGGCCCTGATCTAGCATCTCGTTTACAGTCGCTCTCTCAGAGACGTGCTGTCGCCTCCCTCAGTCTTTTCTACAAATACTTCACGGTAACTACTCCGAGGAGCTATTTTCGTTCGTTCTCAAACTGCATGAATTTAAGCGTGCTACTAGGCTGGCTTCACGGTCCCACCCTTTCACTGTCGAAACGGTTAAATGTAGCTGTCTCTTCTACTTCAATAGCTTCATGTCTCTCACTTCCCGTCTGTGGAACTCGATTCCCTGCTCTTCCCTTCATCCTTTCCTTTTTCACGCCTCTTTAGACTTGCTCCCACTTTCTATAACCCCTTGCGTTCTAGTGGCACTCCCTCCTTGCTTGGGATGAAAAGTTTAATATATATATATATATATATATATATATATATATATATATATATATATATATATTCAAACAGGTTTGGTTAAATAATTGAGACATATGTCCATTAATTTCTGTTGAGATCCTTTCAAGATGGCGCATTAATTTCTTGGTAGCCTTAAAAAATTGATTAAGAAAACTACCAAAATTTTCTTTCAAATAGTTTTTATTTTCCCAAGTACTTTCAATCTCATCTTAAACCATCTTCAGGGGTTTAAGTTGTCTGTGAATGTATATATGTGTTTCTGCAAATTCCAAACATTTCAAACTGTTCTTTTTTTACTGCTTATGCAGCGTTCAAGATTTCAAAGTTCAAAGTTGAAAGGATCACAATCAACATGATATGTATAAATTATTTAACCAAACCTGTTTGAATGAAAATATACTGTCTAAATATACACAATATATATATATATATTAATTATTTTTTATTGTTATAAGAGATTATAATAAAAACATGTTGAAAGCATTGACAATTGCTGACATATTTTCCGCAATCGTCAATGATGGCCTGTCTATGTTCCGGTTTATCATGGCATGAAAAAATAACTCACCCACCTCCACCATCTTACCTTACTTTTCTATTTAGCGTAGATCTGTCATTTAATTGGTTAATCAAGACATGCCCACAAGTCGGTTTTTAATTCTGACCTTATGTTTCCCCATCGCTTTAACTTTCGGAAAAGTGATAAAACTTTGTTTTTAAATTTCCTTTAAAATCATTTCATCACCATTTACTTACCATCTACTGAAGAAGTACAATCAAAGTATTGAAACATGAAAGCGTTTGGGTAGCGATTACAACATGTCTTATAATAAAAATAATAATAATATATTGTTCTACTTTGTATAGAGCACTTTTTTCAAAGTAAATGCTACGAAGTGTGGAATTTTACTTCATCTGTTCTTTCTCCCATTTATATATATATATATATATATATATATATATTATTACTTAAACGTTATTTTTAGTGGAAAGTCACATTTGAGTAGATGCACTGTTTATTAAACAGTATATTTATGTATTTTCGTCTAACGTTCTGAATGTTCAAATAATCTTATTAAAGAAAAATGTGCCCTACAGCAGGATTCGAAAGTAGAAGTGACTGTTGTTATATCTGGCGTGCTTTAACCATCTCGGCCCCGAAGTGCGTCGATGATCAAGCAAAGTTGAATAGTTCCTTATAAATGCAACTCTTTCTTAGACTCTCGAAACATACATATTTGCTCAGCTTATACGACACTATTCAACTTGATCATCGACACCCTTTGTAGCCGAAACGTTCCTCGCGTCGGATCTAACGACAGTTTCGCCTGCCGGGGTGGGGGCGCAGGTTCAAATTAATATATTTGCTTATATATATATATATATATATATATATATATATATATAAAGGCTTCCCGCTGATTTTTTCTACAAATATTTTCATGACAATAATTCTGATGGGCTTGACGATGTCGTGTATATCATATACAGTGCGTATCCTAATCTAATACAAGGCCTCAGTCTTCGAGCAATGATTTCAAGATTTGCCACATGGTTTTGCTGGGTGGCAAGAAAATATTTACTGAGATTAATTTATTGAAATACAAGCCGAAACGAAAACTGGAACCAACTAAAAGAGAAATCACAAACAATAGCTTGCGACATTAACATTTTCACGAACACTCGACGCAGGTATTCTCCTCGCCTACTGATAGATAAATGCAATTGAATTATATGAAAGTGAATTCGTATTCTTTATATGTTCATATCAATGTGTATGTAGTGGGTGGAGAAATATATATATATATATATATATATATATATATATATATATATATATATATATATATATATATCTTGCACTGGGTAGACATTTTTTTAAAAAACAAAAAAGCAATTCTTGAGCATACACGGTTTCCTTGAGAATGAAGAGAAAAGACCAAATACGCATAAAATAAAATAAATTAAAAATAGAAAAACTGTAAAAATTTTGCATATCGATTGCAGAAGGAAAAACATTTTGTCAGAATCCACGCACCTGCTGCAATATTTTTATCAATAAAAAACATGTATTTGAGTTGTTTTTCAAAATAAGTTTCATATATATATATATATATATATATATATATATATATATATATATATATATATATATATATATATATATATAAATATATGCGTGTGTGTTTATGTATGCATAAAACTTTTTTATATAAAAGTGTAAAGTAGGGAACACATGCGTGTAAAGTTGTGGACATATTTTTACGTTTTTAAATAACCATGAATGCAATGTATCTATCTATACATCTATCTTAGTCTGTTCCTGTCTCTCTATATGTCTATCATAGTCTGTTCCTATCTATCTATTTATCTCCTTTTGTTCATAGCTATCTATTTATCTCTCTCATTCTGTTCATATCTATCTACCTATCTTTCTGTCTCTGGCTGTCTGTCTCTCTCTCTCTCTCTCTCTCTCTATATATATATATATATATATATATAACATCTACTCTAAGGTATCGATCCACCACCACAACACGTCAGTTAGTAATCTTTCTTTCTTTCTTTCTTTCTTTCTTTCTTTCTTTCTTTAAAAATTTACGTCCACTCTCAAGTTAACCAACATTGAGCCTGGTCAGTATCTAGATGGGTAACAGCTTGGTAATACCAGGTGTTCTAAGCTTGGATGTGCGGGCGGTGTAATGGATAACAGTTCAGAATTGGGGATTGGAGAACCGAGTTCCAATTCCAGTTGGGTTCGTTATAGTATCTTACGCGCAAATACCCTTGGGACAGGTATGAATTTGTTGTTGTCCCTCCCAATAATAGGTTAATTAGAAGGACTTGTATCAGTAAATATTACAATCTAAAAATATTTTCTCGCTTTGAAAAGTTTGATAAGCCGTAAATGATAAATCAATCTCTCTTTGTCCCAGTCTCTCTTTCTCTGTCTCTGTCTCTGTCTCTCTCTCTCTCTCTCTCTCTCAAATTCCATCTTACATACGAGGGTTTTTCATATCAGTAATTTTATTACACACATATATACACATACGCATTCAAGGGTGGGATGAAAAATTAATAGGCCGAGAATGAAAAAGTGATACAAAATTGCAGGTTTTTGTGATGTCAACGAACACTCGTTGTCACTTTCGTAATGTTCGTTGTAGTAAAGACTTTGTAATCGCAGATACAAGTATAGTACGCCGTCGAACAATGCTGGTACCAGACGCCTTCGAACAGCACTCGAACTAATAGTACTTGCTCGATAATACTCGCTCGAATAGTAATCCGTATTGTGAAATAGTATAGCAATAGAAGATAGAGTAGAAATGGTGATCCGTACGGGAAAACAGAAGAAATAGCGATCCGAATAGTAATAGAGGATAGACTAGGAATGACGATCAATCTAGACGCCACGTGAGTTCCTATATATGCGTTTTCTGTATGGTCACGTGATCCACTTAATTTAATAATGCGATCACCTGTGTTTTATTCACTATGTTCAAACTCAAGTGTCGGCAGCGATATTTTATTCCAATATAACACAGGTAAACTTATATTTGACTGTTCTAAGAGGGCTTTTTAACCATTCTGACTGACTCTGGGTATTTAACGGCAGCAGTCCAAGCAACACTCTGGTCGAGTCCACTTATATGAAAAAGGGGAGGACCCCATAACATATATGATATAAGATGACAACTGGAAAATAATCTTTGTTTTTTGCCGACGCATTTTACATCTCAAAAGACTGAAACCATCACCTTTCCTGCACATGAAATAACCATGACCTTACTTTGACCCTGGCTCAAAGTGATGAGCCCAACACTGCGTTAGAAACCATCTGGATCAACCTAAAAACAATGTTAGATTTTCCCGTGATGTGATCAGACGATGGGCATTTGATCAGGTGTCAGAAGACGTGCCGCCCACCGAGCAGAAGTTCATTGTGCAGAATATTCTCGATTTATTCTAGTGATATACCCAAAGCCTTGGTTCTTTGATTATAGTCAATTGCCTGTCATCGATCACCGTGTGGTGAGCAGGAAGCCTAGGCGTTGGATCATCTTCAAGACTCTCTATTCCTCTCTAACATTCATCCCCCCACCTTTGCACTGTTGATAAAGCTGAGGGTCATCGACTAATGTAGCAACATGAATATCCTTGGGGGATAAACTCTTTTTCTGCAGTTAGTTTATAATATCATGGTCACAGTGTCAAATTGTGCCCATTTTCAAGAGAAGTCACAACTAGTTACTTTGAAGTCTTCTTTGAACACTCAGATATCAATTCACATGGAAAGAAACAATTCAGTTTTTATTAAGAAGAGTTGAAATTAATGCCTGCAATATTTCACTGTGCTAGCATTACACCTTCATAGTCAGCCTATGAACGTTTCAGCCCACCCTTGTATCTGGAAAGAAATAATTCAGATCTTAGTAAGAAGAGTTGAAATTAATGCCTGCAATATTTCACTGTGCTAGCATTACACCTTCGTAGTCAGCCTATGAACGTTTCAGCCCACCCTTGCATCTGGAAAGAAATAATTCAGTTATTAATAAGGAGAGTGGAAATTAATGCATGCAATATTTCACAGCTCTAGCGTCATTCCTTCATAGTATGGCTATGAACTTTTCAACTCACACTGTCATATATATTTAAGTATCTATATCCATAGCTATAACGTTCACAGAAAATAAGATATATCAACGTTCAGTATGCTCAGTAGAGAAACAGAGAAGTAAAGAGTTAACCTATTTAGATAGATCGATAGATTCGTGCAATGTGGTTTTATAAATGTATCTTGATATCTATAATGATACCCATGTTTGTTGTACGCATGTACAGAATGGATACATACATAAAAAAAACCTCGGGTTGTGATCAAGTGCAAGTTTTGCATTTTTATTTATTTCTTTTTTCCTTTTTTGTTGTTGTTGTTGCTTTTAAAGCACGAATTACAGGCAACGCATCGATACTTATTGTTATTCTTTGACGTTACGATTCTGTTTCTCATGATCCAATTCACAAAAAGCCGTTCAAACATACAGATGTGAACACGCGGATGAGGTCGAATCTATATGCTTTAGAAGCAAAACATACGTCCCAACAAATGACAGGCATTACGCATGCGTAAATTGATTACATCCCATATCAGCGTTCAGAAATCTCCATCCTCATAATACTAAAAATAGTGTTGGTATTTTTATTAGTTCTTACTATCAGCGATTGTGCGTGCTCATTAATTAAGCCCTATCAGTCGAAAACAAATTGCTACCGCAATTACTTAATAAAAACAATATGGCGGACGCGGAGGAAATCGAATAAAAAAAAGATACTTTATCGCATGTAAGACCCCTTATCTCGTTATTTATAACATATAAGACCAATACCTGTCAACCTCAAACTCTGCGCGTTGATAACGAAAACATATTCTGTTGGTAGGATGTTCGTAGCTGATGGGAGAGCAGAAAGAGATATTTACAGTCACTACCGCATGATCGGAGTTGCAAGAGGGCAGAGCTGCAGAGTATGACATGAGACAGGAGTAGAGATAAAGAAGAGATCAAGTGAAGCGTGTCGGTCAGGATTATCGGGAAAAAACGTGGAGAATTTCGCTACTTGTGTGAGTGATTGAGTTCAGGGTTTGGATGCCAGCGTGGTCAGTGACTTGGCATGGTGGACATTAAAGTCGTCGAACACAAAGCTATCTGGAAAAGGTGTAAAGAGAGGGACTAATCTATATTACCAGGAATACTATCTAGCACGTAACAGTCATAAGAGGATGGAAAATGATAGAGAAAGAATAGATGGCTGAGTGAGTTTAGTAGAGAGAGACGGAGACACATGTAAGAATGGACTGGAGATTCAAAAGAGATTTTCCTAGCCAGCAGAAGATGTTCACGGACATATACTCTCAGGCCATGACGTTACAGTTCTTCCGAAGGAGAAAAAGATCGTTAGGAATCGAGAAGTCAGAGGAGGGGATTCAGGAGAAAAATTAGAATCAAAGAGATGATCGTAGTTTAATTTGGTATTTCCATGCTGGAATGAAGGCTTCGGTACCGGCTTTCACCCAGGAGGATACCTCAGGGGCACATTTTTGAACAGGGTGATAAAAAACTCATTTCCAAGTGCGATCGCGAATGAAGTCACGAAACCAGTCCCAATCAGCGCGTTGATAACAGAAAGATATTCTGTTTGTAGGAGGCTCGTGTCTAATGAGAGATCAGAAAGGGATATTTACAGTCACTATCGCATGACCGGAGTTGCCAAGAGGGCACAGCTGCAGAGTATGTCAGGGGTAGTGGTAAAGAATAGATCAAGAAAAAAAGCGTGTCGGTCAGGATTATTGGGAACACGCGTAGGTTAGTCCAGCACTTGCATGAGAGATTGACTGATAGAGAAGTTCAGGGTTTGGATGCAAGTGAGGTCAGTGACAGAGTGATTAAGTCACCTAGCATGGTGGACATTGAAGACGTCCAATACAACTATATTTGCAAACGAGTGTCGAGAGAGGTCCTTATTTATATTATCAGAAATACTATCTAGCACGCGACAGTCATGAGAGGAAGGGGGACGATAGAGAATGAATAGATAACTTATTGAGTTTCGTCGAGAAAGACGTTGGCACATGTAAGAATAGTGAGGAGAATAGTGAAGAGAAAGTTCCCTAGCTAGTGGGAGATATTCCCGAACATAAACATCCAGGCCATGAAATGTGGATACCAGTATATATATATATATATATATATATATATATATATATATATATATATATATATATATATCTGGTATCCACATTTCAGAATGTTTTTATTATAAGAAATTACAATAAAAACATTCTGAAATCGCTAGACAAAAAGCTTTCATGTTTCAATATTTTGATTGTATTATTTCGACCGATGGTAAGTAACTGGTGATTAAATGATTTTTAAGGAAATTTAAAAACAAAGTATTACCTCTCTTCTGAAAATTAAAGGGTGGGAACATAAGATCAGAATTAAAATGAGACTTTTAGGTATGTCTTGATTACCAATTTAATGTCAGATCTACGCTAAATATAAAAATAAGGTCAGACGATGAATGTGAGTGAGTTAATTTTTCATGCCACGATAAACCGGCACATAGACATGTCATCATTGACCACTGCGAAAAAATATGTCAGCAACATATATATATATATATGTGTGTGTGTGTGTGTGTGTGTGTGTGTGTGTGTGTGTGTGTGTGTGTGTATGTATTGGGGAATCAAATGAAACATGAAAAAGAAACTAATGCGTTTCACTCCCAGAAAGAATATTTTCAGACTGCTTCTTCTTCTTCTTCTTTGTGCAGTATTCTTTCAGGACGTTTGCGGTCATAGCCATCCACGCCATCCTTTTTATACCAACAATATTCTAGACTCATATTTACGTACGTCTGTCCAGACACACAATAATTTGTATGTGAATAAAAAATTGGAAACACTATCTATCTATCTATCTATCTATCTATCTATCTATCTATCCTAGTCTCTTTATATCTATCTAGATAGCTATTATATCATTACATATTTAGCTACTTCCTAGCGATCTATCTCAGTTTGTTCATTTAGAGGTGTCTTGGACGCGTGGGCGATAGCATATATGTACATTGTCTTGGCACTTGCTGTTGTGATTTTCAATTACGATCAGAAAGAGAGGCAGAATGAGAGAAAGGAGAAAGAGAAAAACTGGAATAACTAGATAGATAGATAGATAGATAGATAGATAGATAGTGCAATAGACAAAATTGTCATCTAAAGTATGCAAAACTGAAAATAATGCTGACATCTCATTTTAATAGATATATTTACCAAAATTACACAAAAATACCTTGAAATAACAAAGTAAATTTATTCAATAAAATTGGCTTCAACCACGGCCTCCAGACGACTTTGGAATCTACAACTCTGGACGGTGAATGGTGCCATTAATCTTGCCTTCAGCTCATCTTTGATGTTACAGGGAGTTTTGTAGGTCTCTTACTCAACTACGTCTCACACATAATAATCAAGTCGGTTGCAATCTTGAGAGTTAGGTGGCCAGATGTAAGGCGTGTGACCCTATTTAGGGTTGCGTGAAAAAAAAGAAAAAAAAGGCGAGAATTAAATTAGGTAATAAAAATCTATCACGAAAAGACGATGTTATTTTTTTCTAACAAGGAAAAGTTGTAAAGATTTTATTTTCATTAGCGAAGAAAGTAATAGTGTATTTGGGTTTAGGTGTCATTTACGAGTAAATGACAAATAGGTTAGGGGAGGATTGTGGTAAAGATTTTATTTTTATTAGCGAAGAAAGTAAGGTCGCGGATCTGTCGCGTTTGATTTATGACGGCGCACCGAGTGGAAGGTGGCAGTCTGCCCATGCCAATGGTGAAAATTTCAGGTCGGTCAGGTGGCCTACAGGGCAGAATTCTAAGAGATAAAAATTAATTGGGTCGCGAGAAAAATGTCCGCTGGACCACCCGCAGAGTACCAGGAAGGAAAGATTAAATCCTTAACTATCTGCAGAGGTATCATTTGAGAAAAAGCATCTGTTTTGTGTCGGAGCTGGCTATGATAGGAAAATTATTTTATCGAAACAGTTAATTAGCGGCAGAATGCAAATACGTCCAGTTAAACCACCCACTTGACGCTGGCGAAAAGTCTCGATTGATGAACTCCAGATGGGATTCGGTTACGATTGAGATTAAGGGACCACAATACGGGTCGTATTGGTTTGTTGTCGGGCAGAAGAAAAGAAAGAAAAGAAAAAAAAAGGAAGATAATTTTTTTTTCTTTGAGCAAGATTTTTTAAATCGAGGCTAGTCTAGCCACACCCACACTGCTGGGCGTCCATTGGCTGAATGGTGGCGTGAACGGTAGGCGAAGGTAATCATGTGAAGAAGGAGGGGAGGCCTGTTGACGCCCCATAAAGGGATCGGTATGAGATGCCACTGTGAGAGAGAGGGGAAAACTGCTGGCGCCTCTGAAGTGGTTGGTATGAGATACCCATATGAGAAAAAAAGAATATGGGAGGACGACTCCTACCTAGAAAGTAAAGACTTCGAAAAATGGAAATTAATAAATCTTCCTGACCGAAAAGAAAGTAAGCCCTTAATGCGGATTTAGAATTATCAAGGAACCTCAGACCCCGACAGGCTCACCCCGGTTTTAGTCGGCGTCCATATAAGCACAGTCGCAACAAGTAAGACGGCAGTTCGCAGTTCACAGCTGAGCAGTTGGGGTTAGACAGACAGGCAAGCAGTTGCAGTGAGCTGAGAGCTCGCAGGCAGCCTCGCAGGAAGCTGACTTGAGATTCCACGCAATCACGACCTCAACTTCTAACCAAGAACAATTTATTTTTGAAGAACGACTTAGACTCACACCACCAAAACCAGTTTTGCGAATATCGCCTGAAGACACCAAAAAACAGTTTCCTGAAAAACAATTTAAGATGTTAAGACTCGCCTAACAAACACAAAGTGTCACGAATCCGTATAGCGGTTTGGGAGAAAGACTCAGTCCTGTATTCAGCAACCCGATATAAAATATTGTTATCCTTTTTTACTTCATTTGAACTTTTCGAGTTATTACTTTATTTTCTTTTACATATACTTGTGCGGTATTACCCTTGTTCGGACTCGGCTTGCATTACGGCCCGGCGACTGATTGATTTCGTCTACATAAGATCAAATCACAACGTGGGTAGGTTAGACTAGAAATCAAAGCAGTTACTTCGGTAACCAGACGTTGGAGGCGAGCTGGGAACGACAAGGCTGATGCCGAATCTAACCAGATTCCCATCCGAATCAGCAAAAGGTTAGAACGTCACATTTGGTGCCGCGACCAATACCAAGTCAAATTGGTCGTCACAGGACAGGATAGGACGGCGACGGCGCGGAGACAGACGGAGTGATGTCACAATTGGCACCGCGACCAGGACAGCACGGCGGGCGCAGTCAGGCAGACGTCACATTTGGCGTAGCGACACCGGGGGACGTCACAATTGGTGCCGTGACAGCAGGATAAGACCCTGGATCAACCGCTGCCACAGGAGTTGCAGAAAAATTCGGCCAGGACAACGCACGGCGTCTCAAGGACTCAAATTGAAACAGACTAGAGTGGGAACCAAAGGACTTTGGTTAACTATAACCATACGGTTCCAGATACTCTAGTACGACAACATGGAACCTGAGAAAAACGAGCGGAAAATCGTCTGTCAGGTAAAACACTTTATTTTCGGTTGATCTCCCAATTTCGATTGTTGCTGCTATGATTGTTTTTCTTTTGCTGTGTTAAATATGTCTGACTATGAGCCAGATAGGGTAGACATAGACGAAGAGGGGGTTGAACAGGGATTTCCAGCAGGGATTGTTGGGTGGACCGAGGGTCCCGGCATTTGACGGTAGTAAAAGGGATTTTAAAAATTGGCTGGCAATCTTGGATAAGAGCCGCGTAATATATGGACTCTCAGACCAAGAAACCCTATATTTGGCGTATGATGCCACCAGAGAGAAAGCGTCTGGGTTCGTAAAAGGACTTTTAGCCAGTGAGCCCTACTTGACATGAGAAAGACTAGAAGAGTCATTGACTCGGGAGTTCGCTGACGAGGGGACGGCGATAGAAGCCATGAGAGCCCTCCTGAAGATAACGCAGCTAAGGGACGAAACCCCTGGAGAATTGGGGGCCCGAGCGGAGAAACTGTCGTCATTAGCTTTCCCAGAGGTGGTGAGAAATAATACAGTGATGCAGGCCCAGTTGGCTGATCTGTATGTGGAAGCGCTCAGTGACGAGCGTGTTCGTCACGATGTTTTGAAGGAAGGACCGCTAAGGTTATCGGCAGCAGTGGCGCTGGCCAAAGAGAGCCAGGGAGTTTGGGAGAAGTTAAAAAGGTGTGCGAAGAAGCAGGAGCTAGGTCGGGAGGTCGGAAGAAAGGGGAAAGGAGGGAGACCCCCGCGTGGAATCGGAAGGTCAAGCTAGAGGTGGAAGAGCCTGAGGTGTGGGAGGGAGATCCCACAAGAAAGGCTTGGTTAACAAGGCATGGATTCTATAAGCCCACGCCGGGTAGATACGGGCTGGTCTGCTGGACAAGTGGATATGAGGACCACAGAGCAGCGGAATGTCCGACGAAGTGGGGTTTTCCCCAGACTTCGAACGGGATAAATGTACTAGGTGTGGGAAGAAGGGACACCTAGCCAAGTGGTGCGGGTTGAGAAAAGGTTCCCCACCGATGTTGTTAGAAAAGGCCGAGCCCAAAAGACAGAACCAGGGAAAAGCCAGCGGGCCACCCCAGAATTAAGAGAGAGGGTGGCCCAGTTAAAAATAAGCGAAGTAAAACGTTGGACATGTGGTCAGGAGAGCCACTTGGGTAGAGGGAAGCCCCCCCCCCCGGAATAAGGGAGAGGTTGGCCCAGTTGAAGAGAGGAAGAGTAAAATATTGGATATGTGGTCAGGTGGGCCACTTTGCGGTAAACTGTCCAACAAGAAGGTGCTGGTTTTGTAGGAGACCAGGGCACTTGAAGAGGAATAATGTTCCTAGGAACAGCCGCAAGAGACTGGGAGAGGTCCAGCCGGGACCGCCCAGGTGCAGAAAATGAAGAACTCCCCCATGTGAGAAGAATGAAAGGAATTTGTTGCTACCGGCACCTATGGCTGGGATGACATAAAGGTGGGAACCCAGGAAAAGGAAAGCCAAAGTATTCTCTTCGTTGATGCAAGAAAAGGAGCTATCTTGTAGGACAGAAATAGGGGGTAGGGCAATGAAAGCCCTGATAGACACAGGAGCGTCTGTTTCATTGCTGAGAGAAAAAGAATACAGACGAGTGAAACAGAAGAATGGGTTGCAGGAAGCGGACATAGAAATCACACAGGCAGATAGAAGATAAGAAGGATGGCGAGGCTTCCTGTGAGGATTGGAAAATTGAAAAGTACCCAGAACTTCTACGAAACCCCCAACCTGTGTACGGAAGCAATCTTGGGAGAAGATTGGCTTCAGAGCCAGAGGTCTCGGATAGAGTTCAACCCCACTGTGCTGGTAGTGAATGGCGAGAGAACGCTATTGGGATGCCCACCGGAAGAAGATATAACAATAGTGGTGGAGGAAGATGTAAAGCTACCCCCCAGAACGGCGGTGTCGGGCAAGGGTAGGCTAATGTCAGGGAAGAAAATAGAAAAAAGAACCCTGCAATTGGTCCCTGTAGAAGGGAAGGGCCTAGAAGAAAATGAGGTAACTTTGTGTGAGGCAGTAGTGGAGGCAGCTGAATTAGTGCCCATTATGATGGTGAACCAGGCCCAAAAGACGATAAAAGTTAAGAGAGGGAAGAGATAGGAAAAGCATTACCCCTACGAACTCTGAATCGAGTGAGATTCGAGGAGAAACAAGGAAAACTCATAGAACAACCAGAAGGAATAGTAGACGAAGATATATTGGCACCGGATCAATTTAGGGCCAGAGTGGGAAGCCTGCTGAGGGATAATCGAGATGTGGTGGCCAAATCAGATAAGCAATTA